ACAGCTGACAACATGTGGCGCACGACCGACCGAAACAAACTCAGCTACAAGTGCACTTGCAGGTTTAGGCTCGCGGGGCGGCTTGTCGAAGTGACACGCAGAAAGGCGAGCTGGGCTTCCAGCCAAATTGCTTGCAGCCAAATCTAATCCTTTTAGGATTCCGGCTCTGTGGGAGGTGGCATTGGCGGCGGTGAGCTCGGGCTTGGTGTTCCCGGTGGTGCTTCCACAGGTACCCGAGGAGGCGGGAGGATAACACCGAAGCCTGGCAGCAGTGTGGTGCCCGGCGGCGGTGGCGGTGCCGGTAGCACTGTCCTGCGAGGGCGGACCTGCCGCGAAGCCGTTGAAGCCAACCTCGCCCGGGCCCATATTGCCCGTTCCTCCTCTGTCACTAACCGTCACTAACCCCAATGCTTCCCTGGTTCGGAAGCTTTCCCCAGACGGAGTGCTCAATACCGCCCCTCCTTGGGTGTAAGTCACCGGTTGCCACTGGTAAGCCAATGGCGTTGTCGTCGAGGGGATCTCTGCGGGAGGCGGCTGCATTGTCGAAGACCTTGTCACAGACGGCGGCATAGGAGGCGGAGGCAACGGTGCCGTTGGAGTCGGAGGCAAAGCCGGAGGTGCAGACACCGGGCGCGGAGATGCCGATGCCTTCGAGGCGTCGCTGCTGCTCCCAGGCCCATAGGTTGTTCCGTTCCCCGCTTCGGGGGAGTAACACGGCGCCGGGGTGGAAGACGGGCGTGGAACCCAATGCCCCCATGTCTCCTCTTCTGAACTGCTCGAAAGCACCTGGGGCACCACATCCACCGTCGGAAGAGGCTGTAGAGGCTTGGCCTTTTCCAGTGCCGCAGTGGATCTCCTCGCAACTCCGGTCGTGTCTGGCCACGGCTTGCGCTGCTTCAAGCGCTTCGCTGGCCTCTCCCCCAAAGCCGGTCCCGCTGATGCTGCCCTCTCTCCTGAAGCCGGTGCCACTGATGCTGCTGCTGCCCTCTCTCCCGGAAGCTGGTGCTGCTTCTGCTGCCGAGCTGCTGGCAGATGCTTTGCGGGCGCCGAGGTTGCCGATGCTGGTGCAGGTGGGTCCTCCGTCCAGATCCCCAGCTGGAGCGGTCAGTTCGGGCGGAACTGGCCCCGTGTAGGACCCTGCCTGTCCTTTGTACCACTCCATTTGGAGGATGTACTCCATCACCACTTGGAGCTGGGTGTCCGAAAGACGAGGAAGCCAGAGTTGAACACACATCTGTAGCCGCTCGAGATCCCCAAACCTTTGATGAGGAATGATGATCTCCGGCCGCCCCCTTTTCTCCCACGCCGACATGGCTTTCGAGTGGGCATCCGTCATCAGATGGCCCTCTGTCGCTCCTTTCTCGCAAAGGAGACAAAGGTCTTGCCAGCCACGTTGGCTGTGCTTGAGCGGCAACCTCGCGCTCCACTGCCCTGGTGGGGCAGTGTAAGGTGGAACCCACCTCTCCGAGAGTTGGATTACCTGCGCCCACTCCTCGCGAGACAACGCGCTCGTGGGGAGAGGGTCCACCGTATCCTCCTCCACACGAGATGCCTTTATCCTCCACTTCGCAGAGGGATTCATGGTCTAGGCTAGCAGCTGAAAAAATTGAGCCTAATAGGCTAGCAGCTGAAAAATTGAGCCCAGACTTCTCGATGGAATCAGGATGTTCGCCAGGCTGGAGCGCACAAGCATCGAAACACTCGACCGACCGACATGCTCGAAACTCGCGGCCCTCAACCGACCGACCAACCGACCGACCGACCGACATGCCACAAGCACTCTGCTGCACTGGTCCCTCACACGCAAGCCCTTACAACTCAAAGCTGCACTGGTCCCTCACACGCAAACCCTTGCAACTCAAAAGCGCTCTGCTGCACTGGCCTCTCACAAGCAAAACCTTGCAATACAAAAGCGCTCTGCTGCACTGGCCTCTCACAAGCAAAACCTTGCAATACACCATGCGCAGAAGATGCTGGGCCTGGTCCTGAGGATGTCGTCGGCGATGTCGGCAGCTGTGTTCCTAAGAAATCCTGGCACAAACGGTGATCCTGACAGGGCTCTCCTACAGCACTTGACTGCAAAAGCTCTACCACTCTAGCTAGCAGGCAACTGACCTACCAACTGAAGTTCTGAGCTACCACAGGACAACTGTCCTAAGGCACTCCCTCC